GATGGGACTGGAGGAGATTATGCTAAGTGAAATAAGTCAAGCAGAGAAAGTCAATTATCATATGGTTTCACTTATTTGTGGAACTTAAGGAATAGTACGGAGGACACTAGGAGAAGGAAGGGAAAAATGGGGGGGGGAATTGGAGGGAGAGATCAACCATGAGAGACTATGGACTCTGAGAAACAAACAGGGTTTTAGAGGGGAGGGGGGAGGAGGGATTGGTTAGCCCGGTGATGGGTATTAAGGAGGGCATGTACTGCATGGAGCACTGGGTGTTATACGAAAACAATGGATCGTGGATCACCACATCAAAAACTAATGATGTATTGTATGGTGACTAACATAACATAATAAAATTAAAAAAAAAAGAAATTGGCCTCGAGTCCTATGCTAGTGAATGGGGCAGCTCAACGGCCCCCGCCAGGTCCCTCACCCCTGGAGAGGTTGAGCCCCCTGTCCCAAATGCACTCCAAGCAGAGGAACTGCCTCTCTCCATGTGACCCAGAGGATCCTCAGACCATGCTGTCTACTCCGGGGTCTCCACCTTCCTTCACCAGAGCACTGTCTTAAATCTTTAAAAGTATTTTATCTTTCATTGTTTTGTGTGTGGTACAGATGAGGGGTCCTCAAAGAGTGAACTTCAGGCCATCTTAACCAGAAGTCCCAAATTGCAGCTTCTTACTTTTCTGACTCTGGCTTGTGGGTGTGAAGGAAGTAACATTAGCATTCATACCCACCTTTTTCTGATTGTGGATCTTGGCCTCCCTACTCCATTTTCAGTTTTCCCCAGGAATTTCTCCCAGTGGGCATTTGGTATCACATGTGCTCACAAGCCAGCCTGCTCAAATCCAGCCACTCAAATCCAGGTGCTCCCGGAGATGTTTACCACGTGGCAGCCATTTAAGGACAACTCCTGTCACTGCTCAGCAGCTGATGTCCTCCAAAAATTCAAGACCCCTGAGCCCAAATGGTATCAGAACCACCCAAATTCCCTGCAAAAGTGGAGAGAACACCTCTCTTTTCAGAGAGCTCAGACCAGAGTTCAAGGGTAGAGCTGAAGAACAGTCCCACGTTTTCCTCCTCCTCTTTCCAGGTGCCATCCCAAGCCTTTTCTGCAAGGCTGTTGACCCAGAAAAGAGGCTGAGCTAAAATAAAGACAAAAGCATTTATTTGTGTTCTCAGAACTGAGAATTCTGGGGAAACAGATGTAGGCAGCAACCCAAACTGCTCTCCCAGGGAACAAAAGTCAAGAAATTTTTAAAGACAAAAGGGAATGTTTTTATATGTTGTTTACAAAGAATTTTGATTGGTTTGGGGGGCAGAAAACAAGTCTTGGCTGAGTATAATTGGTTGCTAAGGCTCTCAGTAAGCTAAGTCTCTTATTATAACAAGTTGCAGGTGTTCAGGTGGATTCCTTAGAATATTTGCGGTTTGGCCAGGTTCAGAATTTCGTGGTTCCACCTGTTGAAATGTCCAGGAGGCCCACCTTCTTTATGGCCTCCCAGCTCCATGTGAGGAGACATAGGTGAAACCCCTTGACATAAGTGAAACCATTCCATTTTACCTTTCAAAAGGCAAACCAGCTCATGCAAACAGGTTCATCAGAAACTACTCCCCTCTGAATCCCATGCTGGGCCACCTTCGGCACGTGACTAAAAAGGAACACTTCATTGTAGCAGAGATTTTATCTGGATGGGTGGATTGCAGTGATTTTTTAAATCTTTTTTGTGCTTTTATATATTTTCCTATAATTAATGTTTATAAGTTTTGTAATCATGCAAAAATGTTGATGGGGAAAAAGTATACTTCCCAAATGTTGGTTAGAAGAAAGCCATGTTCAAAAATGCATATTCACAGTGTTTATCATCCTCCTTCTAAAAATTTGCATTTTGTCCATATACTAGGAGATAAACTGGACTTTCATCTGTCAGAACTTTCGCAATTACTTGATCACGTTGCTCCATTGCTTTATATGTTTTACTGGCTCCCCAGCAATCAGGGCAGGGGCCTCGCTCTTTAGCTCACCTCATACTAGACCTTCCTGCTCCTGGTTCCAGTTCTGCTTTCAAACTTGTCCTTCCCCATGTCATTGTTTAGTTAGACCTGAACTACTCACAGCTTCCTGAATGCAGAATGCATCCCATCTCCATGCCTTTGTGTTTGATCTTCTGGTTGCTCCCAATGTCCTTTCTGCTTTCTACCTGGCAAACTCCGATCCACACTCTAAAACCCATCTCAGATCAGTCACTTCCACTGGGAAATCCTCCTGATGCTCTCTTCTGTACCTGCCTTGATCACGCTGGATTATTTTACTCATCTCTGTATACCCAGACTGTGCATGGCACATGGTGTTTCATAAATACTTGTCAAATGGAGGCAGGTTTATTCATTCCACAAATGTGTATGGAGTGCCCCCTATGTACTGAGCACCGTGTTAGTTTCCTGGGATTCAAAATTAATGAGCCAGAGACCTTGCCTTTTGGAGCTCACAGTCCAGTGGAGTAGAGAGAGAATCATGCACAGATAACCACAATGACAATAGGGCACAGGCAGCTCTGCCTCACCTCTTCTCCTTCTTCCTTCTCTTCCTTAACTGGTTACGACTTGAAAGCATAATTCATATTTTCTTTGCTTATTTCTTCCAAAGAATTTTCCATTTCCTACATGTAGTTTCTGGAGTCACTTAATAGAAGTTTCTATTTCTCTCTTCCCTCTAGCATGAGGAACACTCTCTGAATAGTCAAAGTAGCCCCCAAATTGCTGCTTCCCAAGCAAGTGAACACCCCATGACTGGAGGTGTGCAAGTCAAGGTTGCCGGCTACCAGGTCTGGTTGGGGTAGGGTGGAGGAAGGACTTAAGCTAAAAAAAAGGTTGGTTGAACTCTATGCCCTTGAAGGTCTTTCCAATCCTGATTTTAAGGAAAACACGTCAAACCTAAACCAAGATCATGGGGCTGAATTTCTCAAATGCTATCATCACAGCACAAACTCTGTCACCCTTGAAAGAGAAACAGATGTTCTTTATCATCTCTGATGCTGTCTTAAATCATCTGGACCCAGTGAATTTTGTCTCTTGCCAAGTCAGAATGGAGAATTTTCAGAGATCACCAGATCACCCTGGTTCTGCAGATCTTACATTGCCTTGGGACTAGCTCAGTGAGAACTGGCTGAGCCTGGGCGCAGAGGAGTATGGGTGACAGCAAAGGGGCATCAGGTGAGCCCCTGATGACTCTGGAGTCCAGACAGAACTACAATCCAAGGAGTCCTTGAAAGTACCCCACCAAGGGCCACATAATTGAAGAAATTTCTTCTACCAACTTGCCTGCTTTAAGACAAAACAAAAGTTATTATTTCCCTCATTTTGGAAATTAGCAAGAGACATCTAAAATCACCCGTCGGGGGTCCAAATCTGCAACAGACGTCCAGGGTTATCAGCCTTGGCTGATGTCTTGCCAGGCAGGACAAAAAGTAAAAAGCACTTTGAATTTTAGTTGCAATGTGACCTTATCTAAGCATCTGTATAATTTCTCTTAGATTTTTGGCCAGTAGGGCTCACTGACTTCCCTCCCTCCCCAGGTCCCTTGAACTGGGAACCTCTTCACAGGACCAGTCCAATATATTTTACTCGATTCGTTGGGACTGAGCTTTGCTCCCCGTGTCGTTAAATGCAGTCTCCAAAGTCAGCCCAACATGGCTGAATGCCTGCCAAGCCATCTGGACATGTTCCTCACCTTTCAGGGCCCCTCTTTCACCTTTGGTGCAGTGATGATAATAATACCCACCAAACAGGGCTGTGTTTTGTATTTAATTGAACACTCTGTGTAAAGTCCTTAACACAGTGCATGGCTCAGAGTAAGTGCTTCAACATTTCTGTTGGTAATCAATGTTACTGGGATTGATGAAGTCTCACTTGGCTCATTAAGGGCTGAGCAGAGCCTGCTCCGACTTGATGGTGATCTTTTTTTCACAGTATATTTCTAGATTTCCTACCTGCTGGTCTCCTTGAAGGAGGGGAAATGGAAGGGGAAGGTATCCAGCCGGATGGAAGACAGCCAACATCTTTCCAGTGAAATCCTTGCCCCACCCTTGCACCAGGCTCCTTGTTGGGATTTCTCTGCATCAAGTCGGCCACTAGCCAGTACATGGATGACTGAGGGGCTGTGGGTGTGAGCAGCAGTTTAGGAGAGTCAGGAAGAGGAGGAGCTGGAGTGAGGTGAACTGTGGGTTTCACGACGCACGCTGCTGTACAGACCACAGCCTCTCTGGGACCTGTGGTCTAGAAGACAGGAGAAAGAATGAGCAGGCCAGAAGACCCAGCCCAGCCGGACCCTGAAAGCTGCAGAGGGTGAGTGGCTCATTTCTCTAGCTTTCCATGCCAGCGACAAGGGAAAGGCAAGAATTCTTTGCCTTTGGTGAGGGAGCTACAAAGGATGACTGTCTGCCTGGGACAGAAGTCAGGAGACCTGAGCTCCGCTCTTGCGTGGTTACTAGCAAGCTGTGCAACCTTGGGCAAGTCACCTGACGTCTCTGGGCCCGTTTTCACATCTGTAAAATCAGGAATTGTCCTAATCAGAGTAATGACAATATCTAGCATTTGTACAGAGCTTGTCAGTTGCACATTCCCAAATAGCATCTCATGTGATCCTCATAGCAGCCCCTGTTGGAGGGAGGTTTGTCACGTGTTGCCGATGAGCAAACCAGAGTGCAGTGGGGCCAGTGATCAGTTAGGGCAAAGCAAGCCTGGACCTAAACTCCTGGTCTCCTGAGGAAAATTCTGGCCTCTGCTGAGCACATTGTTCCCCCAGAGCTCTGAAATCTGCAGATTCCTAGCTCCTGGTGGAGGAGTTCTCTCTCCTTTGGTGCTACCTTCTTTTTCCTGCCCATCCCACCCTCCCTTCTTCCTGCCAGCTGTTCCAGCCTCTTCTCCACCAGCTTCCCAGAATTTCTTCTCCTTCTGCAGGCCCGAAACACTAACATTTCCTAGAAGAGGGAAGTGCACACCAGATACCCCATCCCCACCTTCCCTGGGTTAGCACTTGCACGCAGCCTACTTCCCAGAGTTCTCTCTTCTTTGTGGAATGACTTCCTGTGGGTCCCGAGAGGTAAAGTAAGTGTAAGGGGGGCTGTTTAACTTCTAGGTGAGAGCGTGGACCAGCCGGCACGGGTCGCCAACATCCAGGGTGCTCGTTAAATGTGCGGATTCCTGGGTCCCACCCCAAAATTGGTGAGCCAGAGTGGGCATTTTAGCAAGCTCTCCCTGTCTCTGACAGGCAGGTATCACAGCTTGGGGGCTGCTAGACTTCCAACCTCTGCACCGTTGGACAGCAGGGGGTGGTTGACAGATTTCTTCATAGTGCACTATCCTTGTATATCTGGAAGAAGTCCTTCCTGATAAAGGTGGATTATTATTTTTTGAAGTAAATTCCAGAATTTAACTTGGTTATATTCTAGTTCGAGTGTTGCATCTCTACCAGTTACATTTGTCTGGAGTTTTCCTTTTCTTGTATGCTATCTACATCGGGATTGGGTAAAGCTAGCTTGGTCAAATAAACTGGGAGTCTGACCATTACTTTTTTTTACCATCGGAGATAGTTTGACACTGGGCCTAGTCTTTGAAGACTGGATAGGACTCGGCTACAAAAACAAGCTGGGGCTGACATTTCACTGCCTTTCTCATTTCTGAAATGATTTTTGGTCCGTTAAGATTGTTACATCTTCTTGAAATCAACTCATTTCCCTGAATTCACCAAACATTTGCACCAGACGCTCATATGTCTGTAGCCCCTCTGTCTTTATTGCCTTTCTCAATATTAATGTTGTATTTTTTCCACTTGTTTTCTTTAATCGTGCTTTTCTACGTACACTTTTCAGAGACCCAACTTCTTTTTTCACTGCATTGGAGCATAAATGATAAACAATAAACTGCATACTTAAAATGAACAATTTGATGAGTTTTTAAAATATGGATACATCTGCGAAACCATTGCCATTATCAAATATAAATGCATTATTTTGACTTTTTTTAGTTTTCTAGTTCCTGAATTTCAGATTTTATATTTAATAGTCTATCTCTAGATAGATGTGTGTATTTTATTATTTTTTCCTGGTTTCTTAAGAGGAAGTTAGCTTGTTTATTCTTAATTTTTATGTATAAATACAGTTGATTCTCATTATTCATGGCAATTATGTCCTCTAAATTCATTGCAAACAACGAATTAGGGAATTCTGAGCCTTTGCTCCTCAGGAAAATACAGGGTTAGGTTCCTGCCAACATCTAGTCACAAAGTGTTTTTTATCAAACAGTCAATATATAATCTTGTTTTATGTGTGATTCTTTTAAAGACTCCTTTAAAAATATAAATTGTTGATTTGTTAACATAGAACTCATGGTCAACAGCACTAGGACTTACGTCTGAACAAAGCTTACCTAATACACATATTTTTCCTGTAAGGCATGTCATAGCCTTTTTGTGCTCAGGAACACTAGTCAGCATTTCAACACCACTCCTGGGGCCATTTTAAACAGCAGAATCACTGGTACAGCGTGGGGACTATAATCAGTGATATGGTAACAGTGTTGCCTGGTAACAGATGGTAGCTACACTTGCAATGAGCACAGCCTAATTACAGATACACCTGAAACTAGCATAACATTGTGTGTCAACCACACTCAAAAAAAACCCACAACACTTTTTTTAAGAATGAAAAAAATAAAGAGCAAAATAACCAACAAAAAGCACAAAAATTCAAAACTTGCAGCACTCAGTAGATCATGCAAAGAACACTCGTTCTCAGTATGAGAGCTGAAACAAGAATGCAGAGGGTCCCCTTATTCAACCTCATCTCAGAACCTGTACATCAGGCAACTCAAACTGATCACTGCTTTGCTCATGTCCACAGTGTCTGGGAAAATGCTGCAAGTACTGGATTGGGGGTTACTAACAAGTTTCAGCAAACAGGTGAATTCGTGAATATGGAATCTACAAATAATGAGGATTGATTGTAGCTAAATCATTTAATGTTCTATTGAACTCATGGGATACAGGCAAAGTCATTCTCTCAGAGAAAAGTTTATGGTAATAGATCCTATAAATCCTCACTCACAGCTTCATTTTTGGTTTGTTGGGTTCTGATGCCACAGAAAGTGGTGTCCTCATTTATCACTAACCTCTGTTCAGGTCATTATGTAGTTAGCTCGTCTGGGAGGGTGTCAGTTCGCTGATACCCTTGGAACATCATAGAATATGCCCTGGACCCAGAAAGTCAAGACCCGAGGTCTGAGTCCTGGTGTGGCTTGTTCTAGAAGTGTTCAAGTAGAGGGTGGAGGCTCTGGGGCATGATGGAAAACACACTGGCCTTGGATTTGAACACACTCTCTCTCTCACTGGCTGAATAAATTTCGCTAAAATACTCATCTTCTCTGAATCTATTTCCTCCCTATAAAACATCACGACCCACCAGGTTGTGACAGAGACCAAACAAAGTAGTGGGTGGGAAGTATTTGGAAAACAGTGAAGAGCTGTGTAAATGTGAGGTGGGGAATATTGTCATCATGTTAATAGCATTCCCAGAGTGTGCCACTCTCTGATTTCAAGCCCACAATTTGGGCTCCATCTCACTGGGACCCTATCATTCCAGAACCTAAAGAGACATGAGTTCAGGCTGACTGATGCCAGATGGAAGAAAGAGACAGGTACTTAGGGACGTAAAGAAGAAGTAGTCTTGGGGAGACTCCTCTCCCATGGGCAAGGCTGATCCAACCTATGGAAGGCCCGAGGCCCTAGTTAGAAAAAGGCACACGTCCTGGAACCACCAGGAGCCCTTGGCCACCCCAAACCCATAAACCTGTCTCCTTTTCTTCCAGTGCCATGAGTACTGAGGAAGATGCCATGTGGATTCAGTGGGTGACACACCAGTTTGAGACCATTGTGGGAAAAGACTGGGAGATCAACCTGCAAGAATTCAAAGCAGCCCTGAATGTGAACGAGGCAAGTGTCCACTCCGGAAGTGGGCCCTGCATTCATAACGGAGGAGCAATCTGGCTCTCAGGGACACAGTACCTCACAAGGAGGCAAAGATCGCTCCCGGGGCTTCCTCAGGGCTTCCGGCCCCACCTCTAAGCAGGATCTGAGCGTTTCAGTCTCTGTTCCTGATGCCCTCCCATCTCTCTGGTAGCTGTGCCTCCTGGGGTCTTCAAAACAACATGTAAAGTTGGGTATCAGGAGCTTGCCAGATCTCAAGAAATATTTTTGGCCTCATATTTTCCACCAGCCTCATGGGCAGAGTTGACGCTATGATGTCTGTAAGTCTCCTTCCAAGAAATAAGCTTCTCAATGATTTATATCCATGAAACTCCCACCCCATTTCCAAACCCGCTCTCATTTCATAAGTTCTCTGCCCATTCCTGGAGGAGCCTGCATGTCCCACAAACAGGGGAGACATCCGCAGAGATAAGGGGGGAGTGAGGCTGCAAATGTTAACTTCTCCCCACACATTTCATGGGCTGGCATCTGGTGGTGGCCTGTGTCCTTGATAGGGGCGAGCCAATGAGCATTTGCATGTCCCTATTTGGATCAGAGGGCCCCTCACTTGCTGGTAGCAGGGATACTGCTAAGAACTCTAAATGCCATGCCTCCTTCCATAGTAAACATGGGGAAGGAAAAAAAGACATTCTGCCTAACAATACATTACACTCTTTTTTTTTTTGAAGATTTTATTTATTTGAGAGAGAGAGCACGAGCAGGGGGGATGGAGGGGGAGGGAGAAGCAGACTTCCCGCTGAGCAGGGAGTCTGACTCGGGCTGGATCCCAGGACCCTGGGATCATGACCTGAGCTGAAGGCAGATGCTTAACCAACTGAGCCACCCAGGCCTCCCAATACACTCTTAACAGGACGCTGTAAAATACCTTAAGATAGAGACCACTCCGGATGTTAGAGAGTGATAAAGGGATCCAGGGATCCAGGAAAGAAAGAGGAGAGCCGAGGAAGGGTGAGTGTCTACAGCAGACTTCGGTCCCCACTTCCTGCTTGTGAACTCCTCATGGTTTCTTTAGGTCAGACTTGAAGCCCTGCGGGCCCCTCTCCCTGCCTTGAGGGGAGCCTCCCGGGCCGGCATATCTGGGGCACTGACCCCACCTGTCTTAATTTCTGTGCTGGGGGCCTAACACCAGGCCTGGCAAGTCGGGGCTGTGCAGCACATGATTGCTGAATGAATGGATGAATGGATGAATGAATCAATGAATGAATGAGTGAGTGAATGAGTGAATAGAGTGAGTGAATAGGAGCTTAAGAATCAGCCTGAAGTGTAAGCCCAAGGAGCCTAAACAATAAGTCCCAGGACGATCCAGGTGCTCAAGTGCCATCTACCCTCTAAGAACTTCCTGGTTCGCTTGTCCCTTGTGTTCATCCCAAGGGGGATGAGACAGGACCTGGGAGGAGCCTGCAGGGGGAGCCTGCATTTTGCGTGTTGAGGGGTCTGGACTGCAAGGCTGATGGGGGTGACGGGCATGTAGGGGACAGAGAGCCTGTACAAATGACCAAGGGTGAGGGGCAAGCAGGGGTCCTGAGGCCCGGACACAAGCCCAGCCTCGCTGCTGGGATCTGAACCGTTCTTCCACGGAAGTCCAAACTTGCTCTAGGCCAACAGGAGGGGCCGGGGACACCACCCCCTGGTGTGGCCAAGCGGGGCGATCACACCCGGTGCGCAAGCACTGGGGGCCTGCGTGAGGCCCCCCCACCCCACAGCGCATGTGCGCACGCCCTGCAGGCCTTCAAAGCCCGGGCGCCGAGGCTACACTGTGCCTATCTCCCGCCCTTCTCTGGCCACAGTCCTTCTTTGCCGAGACATTCTTCACCCTGTTTGACCCCGATGGAGGCGGCACCATCACCCTCCAGGAGCTGCTGGAGGCGCTGACCCTGCTCATCCACGGCAACCCCATGGACAAACTCAAATTCCTCTTCCAGGTGTACGTCGATGGTAAGGGCTCCGGAGGGACGGGCGGGCGGGGGCGCCCGTCCTCAGTGGGAGGGGGCAAAGGGATCCGCCCACCTCAGTGACGGTGTTCTCCAGACCAGGCTGATGGCTCTCCCCCTCTGTGTGCCCGCCCCCCATCTCTCTGTCTGACCACTGCCTCCCTTCTGTGGAGACGTGGGAGAAGGGGCCACTCTGGCCCAGGAGACAAATGCCCTTGATTCGATCACCAGAAGCCTGAACTTCTTTTGAAAGTTTGAAAAAAGAAATTGCTTTATTTCTTTTTCCTTATTATGATAACATATGTCCACTGAGAACATTTTAGACAATACAGAATGGTTTAAAGAAGAAAGCCAAAATCACCCATAACAGTTTTCTATACTGCCTTCTAATTGATCTCTCTGTCTCTGTTTCTCTGTACACAGCCCCACACATTTTTTTTTAAATGGGATTACACTCTACATACTGCCTTTTCTTGCTAAACAATATAAACACTTGCTCGTGTAAGACTATATTGCTTTCTAACCTCATTTTTACTGTAGCAAAATATACATAACATTAAATTTACCACTTTAACCGTTTTTTTAAGTGTCAGTGTAACAGCATTAAGTGAATTCACATTGTTGGGCAACCATCACCACCATCCACCCACAGAACTTTTTCATCTTTCCAAACTGAAACTCTATACCCACTCAACACTAGCTCCTATTCTCAACACCAGCTCCTATTCTGCCCTCCCCAGCTCCTGGCAACCACTCTCTCCGTTCTGTCTCTAGGAATTTGACTACTCTAGGTATCTCATATGAGTGGAATCATGTAATACTTGCCCTTTTGTATCTGGCTTATTTCACTTAGCATAATGTCTTTAAGGTTCACCATGTCGTACCATGCGACAGGATTTAGTTCTTTTTTTAAGGCTGGACAATATTTCATTGTATGATACCACATTTTGTTTATCCGTCCATCTGTCAGTGGACGTTTGGGTTGTTTCCACCTCCTGACTACTGCGGATAATGCTGCTGTGAACACAAGTGTGGGTCTTTGGAACCCTGCTTTCCATTCTTCGGGGTTGATACCCAGATGTGGAATTGCCGGAACATATGGTAGTTCTACTTTTAATCATTCAAGGAATGCCGTATACTTCCACAAGGTTATACCATTTTCCCTTCCCACCAGCAACGCACAGGTTCCAGTTTCTCCACATCCTGTGCCAATCACTCATTCGACTTGTTATTTCTGTTTCTCTTTTTTAATAGTACCCCCCCTACTGAGTCGGTTAAACGTCTGCCTTCGGCTCAGGTCATGATCCCAGGGTCCTGGGATCAAGCCCTACATTGGGCTCCCTGCTCAGCAGGGAGTCTGCTTCTCCTCTGACCCTCCCCCTCTGGTCATGCTCTTTCTGTTTTCTCTCTCTCTTTCAAATAAATATATAAAATCTTTAAAAAACAATAGTAGCCACCCTAGTGTGTATGAAGTGGTAACTCAGTGTGTTTACAGCATCAATTTCTGTGACCATGTCCCATCCCACCCTTTGTACATATGTGACCCTGTGTCCTGTGCAGCACAGCCTAGGAGTTCAGATCTCTGACCTGGAGGTCAGGCTGCCAAAGTTCAGCTCCACCACTTGTTAATAATCACGGAGCCTGGGGCAAGTCACTTAACTTCTTTGTGCCTCAGATTCTCTACCTCTCATATGCGAATAATGGTTATAATAACAGTCTACACTCATGAGGCTGATAGGATTAAATTCGTTGGCTTATGTAGACTCAGAACAGTGCCCACCACACCTTTATAAGTGTTAGCGGTTATTTATCACTGGTTATTCAAACCCCATTACCAAAATGGAGAATTTCATTGTCTCCCCATTCCCACCACTTTTTTTCTTTTCTTTTCTGTTCTTTTTTCTTTCTTTCTTTCTTTCTTTCTTTCTTTGCATTAAAAATGACACTGCTATGAATGTCCTGCTTTTCAGTCTTTGGCAACTGTGGGGCATCAAGCATCGCTGAGTGCCTGGAGTCATCAGAGGCAGGAGGACTCCAGTTGGGGAGAGGCACCTAGTGAGACTGGGATGATGGCTGAGGCCAGACTGGACAGGCCTCGGTGGCCAAGGTTTGGTCTCAGTACAACTAGCCACGGGGAGCCACTGAAGAGTGTTGAGCAGAGAGGTCACTGGGCTGGATTTGCATCCTGAAAAGCTCAGCTGCAGGCCTGCTCCTGGGCAGGGCCCTCTGTCCTATGGGGTTTCGTTAGCTCCCAGTTCCACCTGACTCAATCTAGCCAGACCTCATTCCCGGAACCCACTCCCCAAATTGGCCCCCTTCCCCTAGGACACAGGCAGTTGGCCACACCCGCTTCCTGAACATCTTTCTCAGACCACCCCCCCCCCCAAGTCTCCATGGGACAGTCCTTACTGACTGCTTCCTGACCACCAAGCTTTGCTCACTCCTGAGAGGCTGGTTTGTGACAAGAAAAAGAGCACACTCACCTTCTCCTTGCAGGCAGTGGTGGGGAGGAAGGCAGAACAGGGCAGGTGGAAGGAGGTTTGTAGTTTTATGGCAGGAACTAGAGGGCATTCCCTTACAGTGGCTTCTGTTTTCTCTGAGAGCCAGGCGGGGAGTGGATGCACATGCAGGTGAGAAGTGGTCCTGGCAGGCAGTAGGAGAGTGACCTTACAAGAGAAGCAGGAGAAAGTTGCCAGGCAAGTTGAAGGCCTTGCCGTGGCTGGGGATCAAAGCTTCCTGCTGTCTTGAGAGCTTTTCTTCAAGAATGTTCTCTCAGCTGCCCTGGTACAGGAAGGGAAAGAACAGGTGGCTAGATTAACTCAGGGATGGGATACGTTTAGGTCACTGGAATAGAGGACAGCAGGCCAAGGAAGAGGAATGTGTGTATGAGGATAATAGCGAAGGGGGACCCTGGGTTTGAAACTAGCCAAGGAGCGAATAAAGCCAGATGGATGAGAGGGTGTGAGGGCAGCAGGGGAGGGACTCTTGTGCAGTTAGAAACCTGTTGCATGGTTGCTCTTGACTGGGAAAGCTGAAGGACAGGAGGCGTGACTGGAGAGTGGTACGTTAGATTCTGCCCTGTCATGTGATTACAGACTTTGGCTTGGGCTTTTATGATGATCAAAATACCAATAAGGCTTTCCATTTATATGCAGCTACCTTCTTCCAGATACTGCAGTAAGTGCTTTATAATTGTTATCCTTGAGCCAGTTCTGAAAGGGGGGAATTATCCCCATTTTATAGATGAGCAAAGTAAGGTTCGCCACTCCGAAGGACTTACAGCCCATCATCACAGTTAGTAAGGGGCAGAAACATGAAGCTACCTTATGTGTGTCTGCATCCAAATCAGGCCAAGAGCTCATTAATCATGGGCCCTGCTGCTCATGCAGAGTGGAAAAATACACAGAAAAAAATGGCCCAAATCTCATCCTGATGGGTAGATTTGGCTTCCTTGACCCATCACACCTTTAGTCACTCATGTTCACCTAAGACCACGTGACTGGACTTGGGGGCCCAGCTCTGACCTCTCAGGACAACATGGAAAAGCAAGATCTGCTACAAGTTAGAGAACAACAGGGAACTTTCCCTCACCACCAACCCCTGTACAATTTGCCTCTGGATAATTGAGGCTCTGGGCATGTAGCTCCTTACAGGTTAAGCAAGTGTATCTTCTCCCCCACTTACCCCCCCCCTTTTTTTTTTTGGAGAGAGAGAGAGCTCCAGTGGGGAGAGGGGCAGAGGGAGAGGGAAGGAAAAGGAGGGAGAGAAGCTCAAGCAGGTTCCAAGCTCAGCGCGGGCTCAACAAGGGGTTCGATCCCACAACCCTAAGATCATGACCTAAGCCAAAATCACGAGTCAGATGCTTAACTGATACAGCCACCCAGGGCCCCAAGCAAGTGTATCTTCTGTGCAGATGGTCTTGGAAACTCAGTACTTAGAGACGAGGCTGCAGATTCTGGAGAAAGGCATGTACTAAAGCTAAGATTCTCTATGCTTGGGGAGGAGTTTATCTCCACTGAGCTGGGCAGTAGGGAGCCGTGGAAGGTTTCTGAGCTGGGGATGATATTATGTACTTTGATTGCCTGGTCTATACCCCGAAAGGGACTTGGTTGGCAGAAAACTGGAGGTGGGCGAATAGGGAAAGTTCACCACTCCATGCAATGGTTGGGCACGGGGGAATCTGCAGGTAGAGAGTGGGGTCCGGGGAAGGCCCCCACTCGGCTTCATCCCCACTTGGGACAGGCAGCGGCTCCATCGTGGATGAGCTGCGCACCGTGCAGCAGTCGTGCGTGCGCGAGAGCGCCATCTCGCGGCCTGACGAGAAGCTGGACCAGCTACTGGAGCTCTTGGGAGTCCGCCGACAAGGACTGCAACCGCGCCAGCACCTTCGACCCCCTCCGGAACTGAGCTACAGCGCTTCCCCGGGGTCATGGAGAACCTGACCATCAGGTGCGGCCCTGTCTCTGGCGTGGGCACCGCCCGTGTAGAGGTTAGATTCCAGGTGCGCAAAGTGGCGGGTAAGCTCCTGGGATCCCTCAACCCCGCCCCGACCCCGCCCCGCCCCCGGCCTCGCCCGTCTGTTCTGCGAGGAGCTATGGTGATGTCTCCGCTTTACAGTGTCTTTTCAGTATCAACTTCACAGTACTAAGCACCTACAGTGGGCTGGGCATTTTCACAAATATACCAGTGCATTTTATAGCAACGCGCAAAAGGTAATTAGTTACCTCACCCCAAGTAACTTACCTAGGATCACACAAATAATTAGCAGAGGCAGACATTTATTCAACTTGGTCGAGCAGGAGGCACTGTTAATTTATAAGTAATTTATGCCAATAAACAAATGCATAAACTAGAAAAGTGCTAAATTGAACAGAGCTATGGAGGAAAATAAAATAGACGGGGTGTAATGACACACCCAAGTTTGTCTGACTCCGAGCTCTGAAAAGGTCCGCTTTTGTAGTTTATTCTTTTTGTGTATTAGCTTACTTGTGGGTTATTTACCACAACACATCTCAGGTTTTTCCATCCTTTTCGATTGCCTTTCCCTTCCCCCCCCCCCACAGTTGGTAAGTAAGGGAAGTAATAGAAACAGTCGTGATTATGTCATCAGACAGATGGGAGTTCCATCTCGGCCTTGCCTAGCTGTATGACTGAGCAAGTCGCTTGACCTCTCTGTTTCCTTCTAGAAAGGGAAGCCGGCCGCTTGCCCCGAGGCTCCAGAAAGTTGGTGGGTTACGGTGGGCGTGGGGTCTCTAGGTTCCCACTCGGGTGCTGCCCGCCATACCCCAAGCGGATTGCCCCCCCCCGCAGCCCACCTGGCCCGTGCCTCTGAGCAGAGCCCCTCTCTCGCAGCGCTAAGCACAGGCTGACGCCCCCCGCCCCGGCCGCCCAGCCGCGCCGGCATCGTGCCCAGCCTCTGACCTCCGCCTATTGGCCCAACCACCGCAGCCACCTGCTCTGTCTGGCCGCCGACGCGGGCCTCCATGTGCTGCTCTTCGCGCTGGCGGCCAGTGCGCACCGGGCCCCCGGCCCCTGCGTCATGGTGGCCGAAGGCTGCGCCAGTGCCTCAACGTCGACTGTAGTCTCATCGCGGTAGGACTCCGCGGACACGATGCTGGGAAGCGGGCGGGGGAGGGGGGGGGATGCTGACGCAGGTTCCTCATAGCCGAAGGGACCCACACGTGGACTCCCGGAGTGCCAGGGCAGAAGGGTACCTCAGACGTCAGCTGCGTCGATCAATACTCAGTGGACACTGAGGCCCAGAGAGGGGCAGTGACTTGTCGATAGTCACACAGCCTGTAAAACACAGCCGGCAATTTTGCGCACTTAACTATGTACAGTCACGGTGCTAAGCCCTTTCCATTTGATGTTCACAACAACCTGTGGTGGCCCCAGGGCAGGTGGGGTGGCTCCCGTGCGGGACTCCAAGCAGACAGAGAACACAGTAGGAGCCCTTTGAATGCCAGGCTGATGAGTTCAGAACTGATGCTCCGGGCCAGGGAGTGAGGTCTCCAAGCGTGTTTGATTGTGCGCTGCTATAATTAAAACAAAACAGAAACAGAAAATGAAAAACCCTTCCAATGACCCAATATGTGCTCATTTACTTATAATGATATACATGCCCCTATTAACATTATACCACCCTATAAGGTAAGAGTCATCCTGAACGGTCAGGGATGTACATCTTTAGTTCAGATACTCTTCTTGATAATGTCAGCCTCTTATGTGGGTTTTATTTTTATCCTCAGAACTGGCTACATACCAAGAGTCGGAGACCCATAACTCATTTGCTTGGTCACTTGCTTTATTAACACTGTTTTCAATCAGCACTTTCTTCACAGGAAATCTTGTCTTTTCTGTGAGAGGTAGTTTAACTTGGTTAAAACCAGACAAACGTCATCTGCAAGTCTACGTACCTGGGCACACATATATTGAAAGCAAATGAGCAAGGAGGGAGCCCTCCTCCAAAGCCCCTTTGGAAAACCCGGTCTTCCTCCAGGACACCTTGAGAACTAGACATTACACGTGCCTGTCTGACATACAGACTAAATGAGGGCACCGTGTCGACACGGATATTAAATGTTAGCAAAATCTTCTGTGCTTCTCATGTGTTTAGGCAAAAGTAATACCAGCAGTCATTCTGTAACATTTTCTCTTCCTGCCCCAATTCCGGAGACCCTGCTTTGCACACCTCGGCTGTGGACCTAGGGGAGCAGTGAAGGCTTGGGGGCAGGGGAGATGGTGAAGGGGCCCCTTGGGGAGGCACAGCCCGCTCAGAGGGAGGCAGGGAGACAGCTGACGGGGAAAGGAGAATGGGCCGAGAAAGAGAGAGCCAGGTGGGGGCTCTCTGCTGCTGCTGTGTCCAGCCAGGTGCTGATGTTCAGGTGCTGCCTGACGTGGCCACAGGCCACCTGGCTGGCTCAGGTCCTGCTGCTGGACTGGAACATCCAGTTCCACCAGCTTATGGGCTACGTGGTGGTTGTGCTCTCCCTTGTGCACACTGTGGCCCACATTGTGAGCTGTGTGTCCTGCAGGCCCAGTGGGTGGGGAAGGGGTGTCCTGTATCAGCCAGCAGTCTGGATGGAAGTCTCTACCCATGTGGGTATCTGCCGGGGAGGGGTGGGGCCTCTGAAGGAACAGTGGAGAGGGAAGAGCTTGCCTTGTGCTCGTCTCCAGCGCTCCAGGCTCAGTCCGAGGCCAGCGCCTTCCTGTTCTGGGAACTGCTGCTCACCACCAGGCCTGGCATCAGCTGGGTCCATGGCTCGGCCTCCCCGACCGGTGCTTGTCTGCTCCAGCTCCTGTGTCCGGAGGGGCGGCCCCTTGCCCCTTTGCTCTCCCAGGCTGGGCTCCCCTCTCATTTCCTCCAGAGCCCAGGAGGTGCCCAGGCTGGTCTGCATATCATGTGCATGTGATTTGGGGTCTGCTGTTGGGTCGTAGTGTTATGTCTGCCAAGTGGAAAATGTTTTGCTCTGGAAGATTCTGCCTTTTTGCTGGCCTGCCCCCTGCCCAAATTGGATTAGAATTGTAAAGGGGACCTGTGGTTCTCTACATATGAAGTTATTTTAGGAATTAAATGAGATAACATATGTGAAGCCCCTACCTATTCACCTGGCACACAGATGCTCCCAACATGTTAGTTCCATTTTCACTCCCCTCTGTGTAGTGTCCTCAAGATGCAGGAGGTCCCAGATTTGGTTTGGAGCTCCCGGGGCTGATCTGGTCACATCAGATGGACGTAAACAGAGCCCCAGCAGCAATCCTTTGATGTGGGACTCCGCATCCTCATTTGACCAATGAGGAGTCTGATGCTCAGACAAGTAATTTCCCAGCCCACGCTCCTGTGGCTTGGGGCAGAGCCGGTATTCATGCTCTTTCTTCTCCATGCCCAGGAAATTACCATCTTTTCTTCCCCCTGAGAAAGGGTCAATGTGATGGGGCCACTGATGCTCATAAGCCCTTTGGGGGCACTCCACTCTGGCCAGAATATCCCTAGGCAGATGTTTCAGATGTTTGCTGCCAGCACCAGGAACCCTTATGTGATCCCTGGGCCAAACCCCCAGAATAAAGAAGCCCCAAACTTCCCGTCCCCAGCCTCCTACCCAGCCCAGTCCCCAGGAGAGGGTGTGTATGACCAAGGCTCTGGGTGCTGCCCTGGCTTTGAGGATGGCCCTGAGCTCTGGCCCTGTTCTGCCCCCAGGTCTTGAGCTCTGGAAGCTTACCAGCCCCTCCCTCTCCACCCTCACAGGTGTTCTACTGGACCCATTTGACCTACCTCCCCATGTGGATTCTGCTCATTCTGCACGGGCCCAACTTCTGGAAGTGGCTGCTGGTCCCTGGCGTCTTACGCTTCTTGGAGAAGATCATCGGGCTAGCAGTGTCCCGCATGGCAGCCCTGTGCATTGTGGAAGTCAATCTCCTCCCCTCCAAGGTGTGAAGGGGAGTTGAAGGTGGAGGGCACAGCAGCTAGATACCCGGTTAGACCCGCGAGGAAATGGGGACTAGCATAGCTATGGCCCCTGCATGGTGGAGGGGACGAGCAAAGTCCAGGATCCGGTCTGGCCTTCAGGAGTGACACTTGAGGCAGAGGAATGACAGGTAGGCAGGACACCACTACAGACCAGCTCACAAAGCATATATTGAGAACCTGCAAGTTGCCAAGCCCTGTGCTAGGTAGCAGAGACACAGAGATGGCTCAGGCACTGTCCTGCTCGGCCCCTGCATTAGAGGGCAGGGCGGTGCGGGTGAGAGTAGAATGTCAGGAGGTACAAAACTATCCTTGAAAGGTCAGAGAAGGCCTCTGAAGGAGGAAGGAGGTGCCACATCAGGTTCTGAGAGACGAGCGGGAGTTTGTCGGATAAACCAGGCAAGGAAGGGTACTGCTGGAACAGGGGCAGCACCAGCAAAGGCACCGAGTTTGGGAGGGTATACTGTACCTGGGGACTGTGGGTAATTTGGCACAGCTGGAGCCAAGATGCCAGGGAGAAGGGGTGGGCAGGGCCTGGCGGGCCCAGAGGCTCCTTGCCCTGCAGGCAACGGGGAACCCCTGAGCAGGTGGGGGAAGGGGACAGTGGTGTTAGGCGGGTCTGTGTTCCAGCTAGATTTCTACAGTCGCTCTGGAAGATGGCTTGGTGAGGACTATTTACGAGGCTGTTGCACATGCGCAGATGAGAGCTCCTGACGGCCTTCACCTTCAACAGGGGCTGTGGGGTGGGGGTGGGGCAGCATATCCCAGACAGACTCAAGAGGTAACCTGCTGCATTTGGGGGTGGGAGAGAGGAGGGAGCCTAGGACATCTCCCAGGTGTCTGAGTGACTGGGCCATCTGTGGGGAAAGGGAAGGCAGTTCCAGGTGGGCTCCCCTCTGGGCAGTTGAGTGTGAGGGCATGGAGAGTGATGTGCTTTATATTGAGGCTCTGGCCTCAGACGGCCGTGATGAGATTCGCATCCCATGGTCACCTCGCTGGTGGCCTTGAGCAAGCTCCTTAGCCATCCTGAGCCTTAGCTGTTCATTAAAGTAGAGAATGAACGGCATCCGTCTCAGAGAATATGGCCATGAGGACAGAGATGGCACTTTCCGGACTTCACACAGCTCTGGCACCCAGTGAGTGCTCAGTGAACTGAAGCTGTGGTCTGGGGCGGGGGAATGTCGTTCTTCCAGGGCAGATGCCCATGAGTGGTTGGAATCCCAGCCAAATGCTACAGAAGTTCCACACAAGGGGCTAGAGCAGTCAGGGGGCTTTACAGAGAAGGGGCCATGAAAAGCAGTGTTTACATCCTAAGATGTGGGATCAAGCCATGAGCCTCACTTCAGACACATCTCGGCTCTCCCTTTCTCTGATCACCTCCCACCCCCCACCTGGCAGAGGGGTGCCGGGGGAGCCCCACTCACAGGCACGGGAGGGTCTCACATCCGGGGCCCACCAGGGTGGTGGTCGAGGCGGATGGCCCGGCCTCTGCCCTCTTGCCCAGGGGGCCCCCCTGGCAGCTTTGAGCCCGCACAGATGACCCTGACCTTCTTCTCTCCCCGGGTCACCCACCTCATCGAGAGGCCCCCCTCTCTTCCACTACAGACCAGGCGACTCCTTGTACCTGAACGTCCCCAGCATCGCGCTCTACGAGTGGCATCCCTTCACTATCAGCAGCGCTCTGGAGCAGAAAGGTACGCCCACCCCTCCATGCGCTCGGCACGTACTTACGGGGTTCTCCCGGGTGTCGGGCACAGGCTGGGAACCAGGAACACGGGAGTGAACAAGACCAGAGACCCGGGTGCCTGGGTGGCTCAGTTGGTCCTGAGCCTTTGGCTCAGGTCATGATCCTGGAGTCCCGGGATCGAGTCCCACGTCGGGCTCCCTGCTCAGCAGGGAGTCTGCTTCTCCCTCTGACCCTCTTCCCTCTCGTGCTCTCTATCTCTCATTCTCTGTCTCTCAAATAAATAAATAAAATCTTAAAAAAAAAAGACCAGAGACCCAAAGTCGCCCTCCAAAAGCTCCCTCTGAAACCAGGAAGCAGATGCCTGAACACTTCCTGACTGGGGAGGTCTGGGCTGGGCCAGCTGCCATGAGGATCCCATGAGGGCCGGGCATCTTACCCCGTCCCTGTGAGCAGGAGCCCTGTGGAGCCCCGAGGCAGCAGAATCCCTCGAATCCTTCTTCCCCATCCCTGGACCACTCCCATTTCTCTCTGGCTCCCCAGCACCCGCAGAACTGCTCAGCTGACCCTCCCCCCGCCCAGGGGACCTCTGGCCCCCAGCCCCATGTGTGCCTGCCTTCTGGTCCTGGGCTGTTGTTGGAGCCAGCTCCTGGACCTCTGCCCTCTTCCTAGGCCAGAGATCGGCCTTTCCATCTTAAGTGGTACTTCTGGCAGGAATTCCTTGCATGACCTATGACAGCAAGACCCTTGCTCAACTTCATGAGGGGCGAAGGGTCCTGCTTTTTGTTTTCTCTGATTCATCCCTACTAAAAGCTTTAGTTCCACTCGGGATGCCTCCCAGGGAACCCCAGCTCCCACAGTTCAGGGTGCAGGCCCAAGGCAAGGGCTCCCCACGTGAGGCTGATCACCGCCTGCCCTGGAGTCACCTGAGTGGTGGCTCGGATGTACGGCGGGGCAGAGGTGGGGGTGGTAGCAGGAGGAGCAATGTTGTTTTCTTCCTATTTTATTCCCTGTTCTGTTTCTCAAGAAGACATATGTTCTCAGAAAATTCAGACAGTATAGAGATATGTACAGAAGAAAATTAAGATCCCTCAAATAATTCCATCCAAAGAAAGCCATTGTCAGTCTTTTGGTGATCTGTCTTAATATATTTTTTAAGATTTTATTTATTTATTTGTCAGAGAGAGAGAGAGAGCGTACACGCGCACACAAGCAGGGGGAGTGGCAGGCAGAAGGAGAGGGAGAAGCAGACTCCCTGCTGAGCAGGGAGCCCGATGCGCGGCTCGATCCCAGGACCCTGGGATAACGACCTGAGCCAAAGGCAGACGCTGAACTGACCGAGCCACCCAGGTGCCCCTGTATTAATATTTCTTCATGGTTCTATAGGTATAGAGAGAATTTTGCATACACGGGATCGCACTGTTCATGCTGTTTTGCAGCCCATTTTTTCTCCGTGCACAGTATGTCCTGAAGGCTTTTGCATGTCTGTTCTTTTAAAACAAGAACTTCCCTCTGTGGCTGCATTGTGTTCCAGTATACTGATACTAGTATGATTATAATGACTGTGTGCACTATAGGGAGGTGTCATCAATTGGACCCCTTCTCCAAGGGGTTTCTTCAGGGTCTCAGCTTGGAATCTGCCTGTCTCCTGGGCCCTGAGTCTCCTTGCTCTAATGTTGTGGATTCTCTCTGGTACCCTTCAGCAGAGAAGCCACCCCAAACCGCCTTCTACCAGTCATCCACTCCACAGAGAACCTGAGTAAGCACCTGTTAGTTAGGTCCTAGGCACTGGGCACAACGAAAGCCATTGGTCCCACCACAGACTGAACACCTACAGTGTGCAGAGCCATTGACAAGCACCTGGTTGAATGTGAGAGGGAGGGGTCCTTGCCATGGTGAGACCCTGGCGTCATGGAGGAGGCAGAGCCCGCACCCCCAGGGAGCTCCTAGGGTGCTCAGAGCCACTCTGACCCCTGTCTTGGTGGAGGAGACTGAACCCTTACTTTGTAGGCTTAAGTTGACTTCATGGATCTCACACTGGAGAGTTCAGATTTCCCAGTCCCAGGGCTGTGACTCTGGTTTGGGCCTGAGGAAGGACATTTAGTCTGGGACTTGAGCAGTTAATGCCCAGCTCCAGTCCATCAGGTGAGACAGGCCTGCTCCCCACTGGAGGAACCCATGCTGAACCCCTGTGCCCATGCCCTGTCTCTTGCTCAGACACCATCTGGCTACATGTCTGGTCCGAAGGCCAGTGGACAGACAGGCTGTATGAGTCCTTCAAGACATCATGCCCCATGGACGGTGGCTGCAAACAGCTGTCAAGAAGGTTGAGGATGAGGAAGAGCCAGAGGAAGGCCCAGGTAGGTGGCTTCGGGGGAGGAAGGGTCCACCGTGGAGACAGACCCAACAGGGACCCTGTGCTGGCGGCTGGTGAGCATCCATCGTTGAACAATGGCTGTATACACTGGCTAGATGGCTGCACAGGGGGTGAGGCAGCTGTGAACTATGTGATCCAAGAGCCTGACCATGCCAGGTCCTCCCCAGTCCCATGTCCTCCTTTAGAAGCTGAGGGACAATGGAAAGAGAGAGGAAATTGAGATCAGAAAAACCCACCTCCATGTCTCTGCTCCAGCACATCCTTTAGCCTCACTGAGCTTTAGCTTATTCAACAACCACCTGGAGGTGGTTCCCATCCTTGGCCTCCCTTTCTCACACGATTCTTTTAAGGACCAACAATGGAATGAATGCAGGTAAACTGCTGAGCTGACCAGTCAGCAGGGTCCCCGTGGACCCTTCATCATCCCCATCAGCAGCTTCGGTGGTGGCATTGTTATCTTCTGAGCCCTGATGAAACCCACAAAGCTGACAAGTTGCCAGTGTCTGGAATGAATACAGGCTCTGGGAGATTTGGGAGGAATACAGCGAGATCACAGTAAGAATAGACAAAGGAGGCTGAAAGTGCCTGGACACAAAGCTAGTAGACTGTACCACTCAGCTGGGAGACATGTTAACATGGGGAAAGCCTGCCCAGGGTCAAAGGAAAAGAAGTCCCGGGCCTGGCTCAGCCCTGCCACGCCCTTGTGGAATTTAAAGTCCAGGGGAGAAAACCAGGCAGAATCCTGCCAGGCCAGACCAGAGGCAGGCATCCCTCTAGAAAGATGCAAAGCTTTGGAAAATGAAGGGGTAGGTAGAAACAAGCAGGGCGTTCTCTGCTCTTACTCAGGGGATGGAGGAAGCTGGCTCTCCAAACCAGCTGAGTCCTGCACCCCAGGAATCAGTGGGTAGATACACTAAAGGCTGTGTTTCTTTGGGACCTTAGGCACCACCGCCAAAGAATAAGTTGGCACAATCTTTCTGGCAGGCAGTCTGGCCACATGCATCAGCATCTTAAATATGTGGACCCACTGGCCCAGCATTTCCATTTTTAGGGCTTTGTCCTAAGAAGTTAATTGGATAGTTGCACAGGAAGTGCATTAATCTCCTTGTTCATTCATTCATTTAGCAATTTATTGAGCACAGCACCTACGGTTTTCCAAGGATGGTTCTAGATGCTGGAGATCTATCAATAAGCAAAATTGACGCAGTCTCTGCTTAACTTCTGGAGGGAGAGATAGACAATAAACAAACAAAATACATGCATAATGTGTCAAGTGAAAATAAATGCTATGAAGGAAAATAAGTCAGGGTAGAGGGATAGAGACAGGAAAGGTGCTATTTTATATATGGTGGTTGTTGTTAACAATAATGAGAAAATGGGAATACTCGAAATACCCAACAATAGGGGTGTAGCTAAATAAATTACGCTTATCATGGAATAGTAAGTCCCTAAAAATGATTATGTAATGTATATGTGTTAGCATGGAAAGCTAGTCCAGATGTACTAAGTGGAAAAGGCAGGTTAAAAAGCGGTATGTTTCATTTATGTAAGTGTGGGTGTGTGTGTCTGTGTGTGTAAGTAAAAGTCTGGAAGGACATCGAAAAATGTTTAGAGAAGCTATTCCACTTTATTCGGGGTACTTTTTCACTTTATTCTTTCAAGCCCTGTAACATGGGAATCTTTACAAACTAACACGTATTGATTGCATGATTTAAATAACAAAGCAATTTCCACTTTGAAACTAAACAGTTTGCCCTGCCAGCCTATCCATTCGGGAACCTCAGTACAGGGAGCAGTGGCCTTCAGCAGGGACATCACCATGGAGCTGACCTCCTGCGGGCCCAAGGGAACTCCACAGCAGGGGGACCTAAGGCCTGGTAAGCAGGGGGACAAAGGAAGGGGCTCTGGTGCGGTGGGGAGCTCTCTTTTATTTTTACATTCTCTCAACCACAATTTTAGTATTTGTTGTGATATGCTTGTCTGTGTTCACGGTGTTAAGTTTAACTTTATAAGGAGATGCCAAACTGGTTTCTCAATTTCTGTGTTTCCATCAACAATGGACGAGAGCTCCAGTTGCTCTGCAGTCTTTGTCAACATTTGATATTGGCAGTGTCTTACGTTTTAGCCATTCTAGTGGATATGTAGCAGTATCTCAGTGTGCTCTTAATTTGCATTTCCCTAACAACTAATGATGCTGAGCATATTTTCATGTTCCTATTTGCTGTTTGTGCATTTGTAAAGCGTCTGTTCAAATATTTTGTCTACTCCTTAAATCTAGATGTTTGCCATTTTTTATTAAGTTGTAAGAGTTCCTTATGTATTCTGAAAACAGATCCACTGTCAGCTGCACATTTGACAAATACATTCTCCCAGTCTGTGGTTTGTCTTTTCATTTTCTTAAACTGTCTTTTAAGGACAACATTTTGAAATTTCAGTTATGTCCCATTTATCAGATTTTTTCTTTCATTCTTCATCCTTTTGTGTCCTGTCTAAAATCTTTGCCTCACCCAAGGTCATGAGTATTTTCTCCTAGAAGTTTTGCAGTTTTAGCTCTTCATTTCAATCAATCTCATAGTGAGTTCCACAAGGTATAGGATATTAGGTCACAATCAGTTTTATTCCTATTTACTAGCAACAGTTAATTGATTTCTGCTCAGGTCATGATCTCAGGGTTGTGAGACCGAGTCCTGCATCGGGCTCCATGCTCAGTGGGGAGTCTGCTTGAGATTCCCTCCCTGCCCCTCCCTCCACTCATGTTCTCTCCCTCTCTCTCTCAAATAAATAAATGAAAAACTTTAAATAAAAAATTTAAAAACATGAAATACTTAAGGATAAATTCAGCAAAATATGAGCAAGTCTGTACACTAAAAACTACACAACATCTCTGAGAAATGGTTTTCTTTATGTTTCTTGTATTTGTAATTCATTGAATTTCTGGGATGTGTGGACTACTTTTCATCAAATTTGTTTTCATAGTTTTCATCAAATTTGAGTAAATTTCAGTCATTTTTTTCTCTACATATTTTTATTCTGTCTCTCCTTCCTGTCACTTCAATTACACAGTTAGACTGTTTGATATCCCGCAGGTCACTGAGACTTTGCCCCCCATCTCTGCTTCATTTTTGAGTTTTTAACTATACGTTTTCACGTTCACTGATCTTTTCTATTGCAGCACCTAATATATCATTCCCTAATCAAAATCCCAGCAGGTTTTTAAAAATAGATACTGAGAGGGGCACCTAGGTGGCACAGTTAAGCACCCAACTCTTGATTTCTGCTCAGGTCATGATCTCAGGGTTGTGACACTGAGTCCTGCATCAGGCTCCATGCTCAGTGGGGAGTCTGCTTGAGATTCTCTCCCTGCCCCTCCCTCCACTCATGTTCTCTCCCTCTCTCTCTCAAATAAATAAATAAATCTTTTAAAAAAATAAATAAAAATAGATACTGAAGCTGATTCTTTTGGAAAACCAAAAGACCTAGAATAGCTGTTAATCCTATCCATTTTTCATTTGTGGTGGTGTATTTTTCTTCTCTAGAGGTTCCATTTGGGTCTCTTCTATGTCTTCACATCCTATCTGCTCTCTCTTATTTTTACATTCTCTCAACCACACTTTTAGTATGTGTTGTGATATGTTTGTCTACGTCCATCATCTCTCTCTCTCATTTCTTGATCTGCTTCCAGTGACTAATTTTCTCCTAGTTATGGAACATATTCTCCTACTTCTCTGCATGCCCGATGATTTTATTGGATGTCAGGCATTGTGAACTGCATGTTGTGTGTTCTGGATTTTGTGGTATTTCTTTACCCAGTGCTGTACCTTGTTCCAGTGTGCAGTTGTGTTACTTAGGGGAATTGGGATCCTTTCAAGACTTGCTTTTAACTTTCGTCAGGGTGAGTGCGGAGTAGGTGTTATGTGGGGCGACACCTCTGTGGGCACTACCCACCGCCCTGAACATTACAAGTTCTCTCCACTCTTGTTGATGGAAGCACAAACTCTTCCCAGCTCTGTTCAAGCTCCCAGTACTGTTTAGCCTAGTGTGTTCTGGTAATTTTCTTTCCTCTATGTATTGGTTCACACTCAGCCAAAGACTTTGCAGAAACTTGATGCAGATTTTTGGAGCTAGGGAGCTCCCTGCCTCCCTCCCTGCCTCCCTGCCTCCCTTCCTCCCTTCCTCTTTCTCTTCTTCTTCCGCTTGCTCTTTTTGCTTGCAGTTCCCTTCCCTCAGTTTTGTGACTGACTGCCTTGTGTCTTCTCAACGCAGTGAGACCAGCATCAGGCAGTGAGCTGGGCTCACTTCATCTGTTTCCCTCTCTCAGTGACTACAGTCCTGTGCTGCTTGATCACATGAGTCTGGAAACCATTGTTTCATATATTTTGTCCATTTTTCTAGTTGTTTAAGGTGAGAAAGTAAATATGACTCTTTTTCCTCAGAGATAGTTTTTTTTTAAGATTTATTTATTTTTTGAGAGGGAGAGAAAGCGTGCAAGCAGGGGAAGGGGCACAGGGAGAGACTCTCAAGCAGATGCCCCGCTGAGCATGGAGCCTGACACAGGGCTCGATCTCACGACCCTGAGATCACGACATGAGCCGAAACCAAGAGTTGGACACTCAACTGACTGAGCCACCCAGGCGCCCCTCCGACATAAATTTTTAAGGTACATAATCTGCTAGTAGAGATGAACAGGTGAGGAAGCATAGGTATTGATTGTGGGGTGAATGCTCAGTATTTTTCCAGATGAGGTGGCAGTCGACAAGGGTACAGAATGGTCTAAGGTACAGGTTAAACAACTTAGCATGTACGAATTATTTTCCTGTTTGGTCCCTTCTTTTATTCTTTCAACAAAAATGAATGTTGTGAATGTCCTCCTCCAGCCCCACGGTCTCCCCCTGCCCACCCCTAAAGGTCGCTGCCTACATTTTGTGCTAAGCCAAGGCTTAGTCTATGCGATAGCGTGTTTCTCTGGGTTCATCGGAGTCTTCACAAGACATCTTTATGGAATACTGAGGTTTTTATTCTGTGTTTTAAAGTTAATCTGTTAGAATCATTGTTTTGTTTTACTTATGGAATAATAATATGAGGAGGAATAACTCTGGAGAATTGGTGGGGAGGTTTTATACTGGTTGAATTCAATGGAACCAGATCTTCTTTGGCTGTTTAATTATCCTAAGGCTGCCATAAGTGAATTAAAATTCCTATGATAAATAGTTTATAAGTTCAAGTAATCAAACGTGGGTTTTTTTCTTAAGATTTTAATTCTTTATTTGACAGAGAGAGAGAGACAGTGAGGGATGGAACACAAGCAGGGGGAATGGGAGAGGGAGGAGCCAGCTTCCCGCTGAGCAGGGAGCCCGATGCGGGGCTCAATCCCAGGACCCCGGGATCATGACGTGAGCCGAAGGCAGATGCTTAACGACTGAGCCACCCAGGCGCCCCTCAAATGCAGTTTTTTATAAGAAACATTCAAACAGATGTAGTTTATTATAACAAACGTTCAAAGCCCTAAAGCACAAGTCAACAGTGTTTGACACAGAATTGGTAAACTTTAGAATGTTGCAATAAAGCTCCTCACCCTTTCTTGTAAATAACAATTATAGCAAATATTTATAGAGCCTCAACTTCGTTCTCAATGCTTTTATGTATATTAATTATTAGAAACACACTTTTATGATGACAAGCTAGGGGGGAAGTTTAGATTTCATTTAAATTTCCTGGTCGCTGGTATATAAATATTTGCTATTTGCTTCTTCCTAATCTGTGTAAACAAAGGATAACAACAAACCTGGTGCTTTGCCTTCTCAAGGCCACTTGAGTCAACAACTTTATTACCTCAAATTTCTTCCAGGGTTTTTCATTAACTGCAACAGAAACCCGTGACTTCTGGTTTCAACTTTAATTATTTACCAAGGTTTGAGTTCAAGAATGTATGGCTTCCCGCTTTTAATTTCTACAGCTTAAGCTTCAAACATTCTGTTTGAGTTTGAATCTTTATTCTATACCATAATAGCTATCAAAACTTGGGGACATTATTGAACTGCTTTGCTTCAGTTTCCTTACGTGAAAAATAGGGATGTAACTAGTACCCACCTCATAGGGTTGTCATGAGGATTCAATGAACTCATCTGTGCAGCACCTGGAGCAGTGACTGGAGCTTAATAACTGCTCAGGAAAGTAAGCAGCAGCAGTAGTACCTGTAATAGTGGCAATAGTAGTAGCAGTGGTAGTAGCAGCAATAGTAGTTGTAGTAGTAGCTGTAGTAGCAATCGTAGTAGTAGTAGCAGTAGTAGTAATAGCAGTAGTAGCAATACCTGTAGTAGCAGTAGCTGTAGTAGCAGTAGAAGTAGTAATGGTAGTATAGCAGTAGTAGCAATAGTAGTAGTAGCTGTAGTAGCAGCAGTAGTAGTAGTGGTAGTAGCAATAGTCATAATAGCAGTAGTAGTAATAGTGGTAGTAGCAATACTTGTAGTAGCAATAGTAGCAATAGTGGTAGTAGTAGTAATAGTGGTAGTAGCAATACCTGTAATAGCAATAGTAGTTGCAATAGTTGTAGTAGTAGCTGTAGTAGCAGTAGTAGTAATAGTCATAGTAGCAATAATAGCAGTAGTAGTAATGGTGTTAGTAGCAATAGTAGTAGTAGCAGTAGTAGTAATAGTCACAGTAGCAATCCTGGCAGTAGTAGTAATAGTGGTAGTAGCAATACTTGTAGTAGCAATAGTAGTAGTAGCAGTAGTAGCAATAGTAGTAACAGTGGTAGTAGCAATACCTGTAGTAGCACTAGTAGTAGTAGCAATAGTGGTGGTAGTAGTAGCGGTAGTAGTAATAGTGGTAGTAGTAGCAGTAGTAGTAATAGTGGTAGTAGCAATACCTGTAGTAGCACTAGTAGTAGTAGCAATAGTGGTAGTAGTAGTAGCGGTAGTAGGAAGAGTGGTAGTAGCAATACCTGTAGTAGCACTACTAGTAGTAGCAGTAGTAAGAGTCATAGTGGGAACCATAGCCGTAGTAGTAATAGTGGTAGTAGCAATACCTGTAGTAGCAGTAGTAGTAAGAATCATAGTAGCAACCGTAGCAGTAGTAGCAATAATATGAGTAATGGTAATAGCAGCAGCGGCTGCAGCAGTAGTATTTAATGGCTGTACAATGGATGATACAGTTAGTGGTCTGCCATGCTCCTGCTACTGGACCTTTTACTTGTTCGGATTCTTACTCTCATTTATAAAGCTGCAATTAATATGTGTGTGCACACAGTTTATTTCCTTCCTCTGGATGATTTCCTTAAGAGAGTGTCCCAGAGATGGAATGGCTGTCTCAAACACAGCAGTTTTGGAGAGGACGGAAACCATGTCAGGTCATGCCCCTGAGCTCCTCCTTCTCTCTCCCACCACGGTGTCACTCTCCCCTTACCCTGCTCTGGGGGATAGGGACTCTGATGGAGGGGAAGAAGGGTCAGGGCTCTTTCAAGTTGAGTGATATGTGAAATAAAATGTATTCTCCCTCCTAGGGCCATTTGCATTTTAACAGTGACTGAGACCTTAAGCCAAAGGAAAAGGGGGCTAATGGCAGCATATGAAACAACAGAGGGCCAGCTGGGACGGCCTGAGTCCTTTAGTCTTGGGAGAGGAGAAGATTGAAGTGCTCATCAGCCTCTGGACCCAATGTCCCAGATCAGGCCCCGTCATTTCTGGCTTGGACCGATGCGCAAGTGGAGGTGGTACCCACCAGCCTCTTCCCTGTCGTGGCCCACATGGAAAATGACAACATTCGTCTGCCGTGTCAGGGAAAACGGAGGAAGCTGCTTGAGCACAGAGGTGCCCACCAGGGGGCTCCACTTGCCCTGAGAGCCGAAGGGATCCAGATCTCAGTAAACCCGTCCCACTGCAGGCCCTGAGCTGTGGACACCTGCCAGTACCCAGGCCTGTGTCCAGGCAGAGCCAGGCCAATCCCTGCCTGTCCCTCCTGTCCTCTGGCTCCCTTTCTGCGATGCTGTTCTCATCCTGGCACCCCCTGCTCCAGCACCCACTGCCTGCCCCCATTTGCCAGCCGGGCACTCAAGGCCTTTCCCATTCCGGCCTCAGTGTGTGTCCCAGTCTCATTTCCCACCTCCTGTCACTCCCGTTCAGGGATCCTGTGTTCTAGGGGGGCAGTCACACCGCACCCGACAAACACCACATCTGTTCAAGCGTCTCACCCTTGGCTCGTCTGTCCCCGCTTCTTAGGATGCCCTCCTTTCCCACACCCCGCCCCAGCTTGGAACCGTGGTCCTCTCCCAAGCCCGTCCCAGCCCCCACCCTCCCAGGGAGCGGCTCCATCTGCTCCAGCCCTTCTCTGTAGATCGGTAGCATTGGCCGTCTCACCCCGTCATTCAACCCTTGCCCCTTTGGTCTTGGTTACCTGTTCGGCTGTGCCCGGTCTGTGTCCCCAGCCAGACTGAACAGACACCACGAGGTGTGACAGGGAGTGAGCTTCAGAGCCCAGGGACTGCCATGCCGCCCTGGGACGCCTTTCCCCTTCGAGTCCTGAGGCGGCCATGGGGTGCCGGCCAGACAGTGGATACAGTCACTGTGTGCGCCTGGCGCAGAGCCCACTCCGCCCCAGCAGTGGGCCAGCTTTCCTTTCCAAAGCACTGGTGGGCCAAAGGTGTGAGTTCTGAGCACCCGTGGTCCGGCTCCGAGCCCCGGGGGCAAGGGGCTGACATCATGCCCTGTGCCTACCGCGGGCGGGAGCCCCTCCATGCTACCTTTGCCTCCCACCACCCAGGCCCCTTCCTGGAGCTGCATATGTACATGACCTCTGCACTGGGCAAGCACGACATGAAGGTCAGTAGCCTGCAGATGGCCCTTGACCTCCTGGCCGAGAAGGAGACGAAGGACCCCATCACAGGGCCTCCAGACAGGCACCCAGCCTGGGCGGCCTGACTGGAGCAAGGCAAAGGCTAGCGAGAGCCCCGGCCACCTGCAGGGACCAGTGGGGCTGAGAGCCTAAGGCAGTGGCTGGGGAGGTTAGGGCCAAGTGGCTAGGGACTGGGCACGAGGCCAGCAGCCAGGGTCCAACCGGGATCACTGGCGCCATGACTGGCTCCCCTTGTTCCAACTTTGGGCTCGGTTGCCCCAACTGTTCAGAGAAGAATTTAGCCAATTTGACCTCCTAGGCCTCCCCCCAGCCCTGACTCCCTATGACCCGGGGTCAGAAGGCCTGAGTAGATGGGGTCTTGGGGAAGCAGCAGGTCCTGTCCTTCCTGGTACAAATGGAAAGACTGAGGCCCAAAGGCACAAAAGTTTGCAGTCTTTCTATTTTATTTCTCAGATTGGTTTTTAAATTATTTTCCCCCCTGAGCACTTACCAGTTGGAGTGCAGTTTGAGTGAGGTGCCAGAAGGTACTGCTTTTCAATCTGTGGGCAATAATCATGCCCAGATAGTGAGGGAACAGGACACCACTGGTGGAAGGTAGCCCACCAAGGAGGGCTTTCCACAATGGCCTCCGTAAGCAGAATTTGGGGTGGGAAAGGGTCTTCAATGGGGGAACAGTCAGACTTTAGGAAAGAGACATTTCAGTGGAGGCATGTGCCTGCTGGAGGACTAGCCGGATGTCCAGACAGTTGGGGTTCAGCATGCCTACGGGGCCCTATCCCTGCCCCCCAACACTGCAGTCTCCCCACAGACGTGCTCCAGGAGTGGAGGGCCTGGGCCCTCTGGTCCAGCCCCTTCCTGGCGTCTGGGTCAGGTTAGGGGTTGAGCAAATGGCCCCCCAAAAGAATGGCTGCATGTTGGACCCTCTGCTCTGAAGCTAAGCACCTGTGCCTTGGAGTTCCTCATGGGGACAGAGGGACATCGCTGCCGACCCATTATGTTTTCAGCTCTAGCTGGGTGTGTCCCTGAGCGGGTCCACAGGCTCGCTCCCCTCCCTCTGCTCTCTCCGACCCCGTGTGGGCTCCAGGTGCTCCAGAAAGTGGCTGCTGAGAAGAAGGGCAAGGTGCAGGCCTTCTTCTGTGGCTCCCCAGTCCTGGCCAAGGTGCTCAAGGGCCACTGTGAGCAGTTTGGCTTCAAATTCTTCCAAGAGAACTTTTAGCCTCGTCTCTCCCAGTTTCTGCCCAACCCACACTGCCAGCCAACTCGATCACATTTCTCCCATGCCCCACAGAGGCCAGCCTCAGAGGACCCACCTAGTCCTGCTCCACACCCAGAGCAGATGGACTTCCTTCAAGGACCCAGGGGAAAGGGCAGTGGCCTGCGTGGTGCTGCTGTGCATTCTGGGATTGCTGAGAAACTGACCAGGCCAGAGGCCCGCGGCTCTGGAAGGGGGTGTGGAGGCGGCCCCCCAGGCCACTGCCCCTCCAAAAGTCCCCTGAGGGAGCCTTCCCCTACAGCGGTGGTCCCACACCTTCCTAATCATCACATCATTTGGGATTTTATCCCAACGTTTTATTATGAAAATTTTCAAACCTACAGACAGCTAAAAGAATTGTACAGTGGACAGGGTTACCCACTTGCTGGATTCCTCTGTCAGCGTTTTGCTATATTTGCTTTCCTGCATATTATCCATCTAGCCCTGTCTCCGTCCATCAACCCACCTTGTTTTTGTGATGCACTTCAGAGCATGCTTTGCCCTTCAGAGGAGCTTTCTTTACATGCAGACTCCTGGGTCCCATTCCCAGAAATTCTGTTTGTGAAGTCCTGGGGAGGAGACCCGGAAGATGTATTTTATTCAAAATCCATCCTTTTCAGAATAGATAAGCAGCACATTTCCTACTTGTCTCTATGTCACTGTCCCCCTAGTTGTCTGTGTCCCTTTTCCTCCCCCCACCCCCCTGCCCCTCTCCCTCTGCCTCTCTCTGCCTCTCCCCTGTGTATGTCCCTTAGTGTCCCTTCCTGGCTCCACATGTTGGTTTCTCCCTTCTCCCCATGCACTGAGTCATCAGAGAAATAGGTGGGAGACAGTGCGTGTGTGTGTGTGTGTGTGTGTGTGTCCGTCCATCTGAGGGGGACACAGAAAGGCCGAGTGCCTGGAAACCACGCAGGTTGTTACTTGAAGCTCAGTTGAGCCACGCCACCGTGATGCAGCCCTGGCCACCTCTCCGAGTCTGACTCTTCACCTGAAAAATGGCCCTGATGACATCACCCGGTCACAGATGTGAGAGTAGAATGAGACATCAGCATCAGGGCTCAGGACACGCATCTTCCATCCCCGCATGGCTCTCTGGGTCTCAGCATCTTCTTCCTAGGCAGCCTCTGTCACATCTGTCACCGTGTGGCCGGAGTACCTGGCAGAGACAGCAAATGCCGAAGCTCTCTTACGAGACGCGTTGTGGAGGGCAGGGGAAGGAGGGCTGTCCTCGCCCCCTCAGATCAGAGCTGGGGGTTTCCGCCTACCCCGCACCGCCAGCCCCTGTGAACCGTTCAGGTCCTGGGCATCCTCCACGTTGCAGCCTGTCCGGCTAGTTCTCTGTCCTCTGTGAGAGTCTAAGACACTCCTCCCCAACCCGCCTTCCGGGGTTCCAATCAGGCATTTACCCATGGAATGGCGGTTGTGCCTTTCTTTTGTGCGGATTGGAAGACCCAGAGGGAGAACAGGTGAAGAAGCTGGGTTACAGCCGTGATGATGACACCCCTTCTAAAGAGCTGGGCATCCAGGGGAGGAGCTGGGACACAGATGAGGGGTTGGTGTGCACAGGCTGAGCGGAGAGGGCAGATGGAAGCATCCTGTGGGTGACAACAAAACAAAGTCAGTGGGGAAAGTTCTCTTCACAAAGCAGCAGTGAGAGAAGGGGAAGGTGGCCAATGGAGTGTAAGGGCGCCCTGGGGGAGAGGGCGGAGTGCTCCTTGGGGACAGAGGCCGGACAGCGGAGGCGGGAGGAGCCGGAGGAAGGGCGGGGAGGAGGGGAGCTGGGCCTCACTGAGCCCCTCCACACTCGGAGCCCGCACATCTGGGAGACCTGGTGTTGGGGGCCTTCTACACATGGCCAGGTTCTGTTCCCAGCGAGCCTGGGGTAGGCACACAACTCACATGGCGGAGTTGTGTTATCAGCTTGCGGTCACACAGGCCTGGAACCCATTTCCCCCTGCCGATTTGGTTTTCCCCCCTTCATCAGACTTGTGAAGTCTTTGGGGGAGACTGTCACTCTTTGCAGTGGAGAAGTTATCTAAGAGGGTGTTCTGACTCAGGGTTGGGGTATGCAATGGGAATGTGCCAGTCATTTGGAAAGTTGGCAGAGCAGAGTCTGTTTAGCATAGGACTTCTCTGTCTGTCTCTGTTCATCTAGAATTTTATATCACGCAGAGGGTGGGAACAGTTGGAAGAACATGAATATAAAATCTTTTTTTTTTTAATTTTTAAAATTTTATATAAATTCCAAAATCCATTAAGGGCCCACATGTTTGACTTAAGATCCGGTGAGTCCTAAGGCTTTCTCTCCAGACATACTCCAGTTACCCACTGGAGGGCGCTGCGGAATCAGAGATCTTGGAGGTTTTGTTTGCTGGGAAGGAGACTGGTTCCTGAGTGGCAGTGAATCCAAGGCAGGCGGGAGGAGACTGCACCCCCCCACCACCACCCCCCGAAGCTCCAGGCAACACCTCCAGGCCCAAACGTGGGATGTGTGAAGTCGAGAGAATTAATTTTCAAGAGCAGAGTTCCTCTAGCTGCCGGCCCCTAACACCAACACACAGATGCACACACAGACCCTCTCCCGGCCGCGCCCTCCCCACATACCGCTCCCTTCCTGGGACCCACTGTCGAGGTCCTGGGGCTTCCCACGTTTCCATCTGTAAGGTCAGAAGAGGCCTGGCTGGGGGAGAGTTTGTAGGTCCATGCTCTGCCCCGGGGCTCTGCCACCGTGGCCTATCATCGTAGGTGGTGTGTCCATCTGGATGTGGCCTGGATGTCCAGATGGGGGCCATCGTCCCATGAACAAAATGGCTGACTCTCCTCCTTAGACGTTTGCGGGTCTAAGAGGGCTGAGGCAGGCACACAGAAAAAGAACAGAAGGAACCCAGGCTAACTACAGATAAAGGGTGGATTATGTGGGGGTGAGCTCCCCACGCCGTCAGCTCCCCAAGGCCAGGCCCGCGGCCCCAGAATCTAGCAGAGGGAACAGCAAGAGGCCTAGCCCGCGTGTCGACTCCCACAAGGCAAAGGGCTTACTCAACTGGAATGATCCTTGGGGAGGACGGGTCCTCTGCATATAAGGGTAACAGAGGCGCGAACTCGTGCCCACTGAAGGAATCCCTTCACCAGGGTCCGCGAGGCTTCTCTGCTCTGAGGACAACAGCTTGGGCAGAGACAGCAGGTGCTCGTGAAGCGGTGAGACAGGCCTGCCCGGACGAAGGAGACGCACAAGTGCAAGTCTATTAATACACCGAGAGCCAACGGGCATTCCCGGGAGGGGAGGGTGACAGCGGCAATAGTGCGAGGTGTCACCAGCCTGGCAGACAGAGTCAAGACTAGGGAGGGATTAGAGACGAGACTGGCGCTGGGCGAACACCTTGGAGACGCGCAGAGAAAGGGCCTTTGCCCGCTGAAGTCAGGGCACGGGCTTCCACGTTTGCCTCTGTCGAAGTCAGCTGTGTGACCTTGGATCTGCCCTGGGACCTCTCTGAGCTGTCGCTTCCTCATCTATAAGATGAACAGATTAAGGATGAGTATTTTAAAATGCTAGTATATGTATACTCCTTTCTTGAAAGATATGCAAAAAATATATGTTTTTCACCTGTTTGTGGAGTGGGACTGGAGGGACAGGATTTTGTTTGGGGGCTGTTTTGTTGTTATTTCTTTTTCTTTTTATCTTCTATCCCTCCATAAAGTTCGAAGTTTTTATGATAAATAAAAACTGTAGGTTTTATAGTTTTATTTTTTTTAAAGGATGTTAAGTAAAAGAAAAATGAACTTCACGTAACCCCAAAATAAACTGCGCATGCGTATGGAGCAAGGGATAAATCGGTAGAAACGCGTGGGAAGACAGGCGACACACCAAACGTTCGCAGTGGTCCACGGTGGAGGAGGTAAAGGAGGACTCTCATGCGTTCCTCTTTCTTCTTATGCATTCATGTATCACCCATGTAACGTTTCACATTATGGCATAGAAATTTTACACCCGGCTCTTCAGGAATTCTTGTGTGATTGTTTTACTTCTTAATCTTTGTTCTTAGGTTAGGCCTATATAGTTTCGTTTTGTTTCCGAGAATAAACAAAATGGAGGAATTGAGGTGTCCTTACGATCCTGAACACCGATTAGCTCCCAAATGGAAGTGTTCGTGCCGCGGCTGGGCAGTGGGACGGGCCCGTCCAGCGGGGGGCGCTGCCGGGCCTCTTCTGAAAAGGGAGGTCGGTGTGCCAACCTGCGGGCCCTAGCCGGTCTCAGGAGTAAAGCCGGTGCGCACAGACGGCAGGGGCCCTGCGCAGTAGAAGCTACCTGCACGGGGCTGGGCGCAGCAACAGCGCAGCCTCGCAGGCCAGATGCCGGGGGCCGGGGGAGCCGGCGGAGCCGGGGCAGGGGGGGGTCCCGGGGGTGCTGGGGGGAGGTGCACGGGGGGGGCACTATTTCTGCTAAACAAACACTCATCGTAACCAGCCTTCCCGACAGATTGATGCATCTTTTTATGATCTGTCTTTACAATATGATGACTCTCTCCTTTTAAAAATAAGATTAATTCAGACAAGACATTTATTTTATGGGGAAATCCATCCCTGGGGGAGAAATACTCAAGCTCAATGGCGGAGATGGCTGGAAGGAGACTTGACTCTGCAGGCAGCTTCCAGCCTCCCAAACAGAGCCCCATGACAATGGCCCCAAAGGGGCTCCCTGCTCCTGCCCACGGACAAATGGGGCCATCTTGAATCAGCCCAGCTGGGTGAGGGTAGCTTGCTGGAGAAAACAAAAAAAGAAAAATAGTGAGTTTCTATGGGGCAGGCGTGAAAAGGGCACATTTTTTGGTAAAGAAGTTCTGAGATGCACCCAAATGTGGTGGGATACGAGTTTTCATATATAAATTAAGCTTGTCTTTAAATGCCCCTGAAGAGCATTCAAGAGAAATGAATTATTTGTCTCTGTGTCTCTGGGACTGGAATAACGC